ATTTTATTAAAAATACCATGACTAAATTGTAGCCTTATTGATAACATCCAAATCCACATGTGCATGTATTTGGGCATAGAGGGCCTGATCCTGTGACATATTGACCCTTGAGGGTGTGCCACACTGTGCAGGATCAGGCCCCTAGAGACATGACGCACCAGTGGATCCAGAATCCTCCTGATATAGTCTGTCAGACTCCTGCCAATACACCAATTACTAAAAGCTCCAACAGGACAGGTTTGGGATTGGGATTCCCTCCCAAACCAGCAGAGCATCTAAATAATCTGCCAGCCATCAGAATGCTGCTGAGCTTCTGACCTCTCCCTGGGCTAAGTATAGCTTCTGCATAGTTAGATTTGACCAGTCAGTCCCAGCCATTTCTTCTCTCAGAACTGGAGTGAGGTCTCAAGGTTGAATGTGGAGCCAGAGCTATACAAAGCCCTCATCTCTTCACCTTCTGCCCACAGCCAGTTCCTCAAATGCTACAGAAAGTTCACAATTCCATTCACTTCTCATCACATGGCAACACCCTCAGCAGTTACATTCATCTTTGCACAGGCACAGACACTGCAAGGAATTTGCTCAGAGTTTTAAAAGAACATGGACAGTGATTTCAGAGAATGAGGAGGGTTACCAAGATCTGCTAGAGAATTCAAGGACTGGCTCCAGAAAGCCCCAGCAATCCCTGTATTCTACATGCGGCACAATAATTATATTAATGTTATAATCCTTTGTATTTCTACAGCCCCTTTCATGTTAGGATCTCAAAGCACTTTAATAAATTAAGCCTCACAACCCTTTGGTGGGGTAGGTAAATATCATCCCCAATTCTACACATGGGGAAAATGAGGTGCAGAGAGAGAGGTTAAGGAATAAGTCCTTCCCCCACAGTGGTCATTGGCAAAATTTCCATGGGAGTAAGAAGACAAGAAATGAGGGACTTTCCCTATGCCACTCAGTGAGATCGTGGCATTGCTGAGAACAGAACTCAAGTGAACTAACTCCCAGTCCCCTCCCACACACATTAGACCCACCTCCTTCCTGTTTGTTCCCAGAGCTGGTTGTTATTTTGCTAGTCTGCAAGGAAGTATTTACTGATGTCTTTAGTGTCTGTTGAGGCTCAGAAGCATCTTTCCATAGCTCCAAGCTCCTTGGGTAGCCATTAAAATGGCATCAGACTAAAGAAGAAAATCCCACTTGCCTGCTCTCCCCTCTCTCAGGGCGTATGAGCCCGTTTAAACTACCCTTCGTGACCCCACCCCTGTAAATAACCACCTCCTTCATCAGCCTATTGCACACACCCCTCAACCTGCTCTTTCCTGAGAAGTTGAAGGAAACCAATGTGGGGCCTGACAGGCAGAAGAAGGGCTTAGATGGCCCAACCAAGATCAGGGCCCCAATGTCGTGGGCACAGAGTGAGATCCTGCCCCAAAGAGCTCACAATGGGATGGGAGAGAAAAGCAGCATGTCACCAACAGGGAACTGAGGCCCAGAGGGTTAAATTATTTGCCCAGTGTCAGACAAGGAGTCTGGAGCAAAGCTTGGCACTGAACCCAGATCTAATGCCTTAGCCACAGAATTATCAAGATGTTCTCCCAGCCTGAGACCCTTCAGCTAAGACCAGATATCAAGAGCTGATCTAAATGCTGGACAAACAGGATTTTAAAATGGAACTGCTGTTTTTTTAACTCCTAGTGCTGACTTGATCTCCGTGACAGACACGGAGGCAGTGTGGCCTCGTGAATAGAGCACTGAACGGGGACCTGGGAGACCCAGCTCTGCCACTGGCTCACTCTGACTCCTTGGACAAGTCATGTCACTGCCCTGTGCCTCGGTTTCCCCATATATAATGGTGATAACGATACTGACCTGCTTTGAAAAACACTTTGAGATCTGCTGATGAAAACGCTAGGTAAGAGCTAGGTGGTGGTATTACTGGAGTGATATCTTGATCCTATTGAAGTCACTGGTGAAATTCACATTCATTTCAATAGGGTAGGATTTCACCTAGAGCAGTGGCTCTCAACCTTTCCAGACAACTGTACCCCTTTAGGAGTCTGATTTGTCTTGTGTACCCCCAAGTTTCACTTCACTTAAAAACTCATCATCATCACTCCCATAACCGCATTGGTCGTTGGGGCACTATCATTGATGAGCAATGAACCAAATGTCTCCACCCCTGATGATTGTGTGTCAGTGCTTGAGTCTCTGCAAAGTCCATTCCTGTCCACTCTTTTATGTTGTCAATCCATCTCTTCTTCTGTCTACCTCTTCCTCTTTTCTGCTGTACTGTGCTTTGGAGGATGATCTTGGGTAGCCAAGATGATCTTGTTACATGGCTGTACCACTTCAGCTTGCACTTCTTCACGGTCATCAGGAGGTCTTCATATGACTCAGCGCATTGGGTGATGATGTTGCAGATCTCTTCATTAGTGACGTGGTCGAAGTAGGAGATGCCCAGGATTTTATGGAAGTATCTCATCTCTACTACCTGTATTTTCCGTCAGGGTCCGTGTCTTGCATGCATACAGAAAAATGGAGGTGACCAATGCATGCAGCAGTTTCAGTTTGGATTCCAGGAAGATGTTCTTATTCCTCCAAATTGGCTTTAGCTTTGCCACTGCTGCTGTGGTTTGTGTAGTTCTTGCCCGAATTTCTGCCTTGGATCCTTCATCAGTGATGATTGCCCCCAAATACTTGAACTATTTCACTGTCTCCAGCTCTAGTCCACTGACAGTGATAGGTGAGCTGATCCCATCACATTTTTTGTCATCAGCTTAGACAGCCCAGATTCAACAGAGGAGGATGACTTTCCAATTCTAAGTGAAGAAGTGGAGACAGCTGTGAAATCACTCAAGAACAGAAAGGCTACAGGTATTGACAACATCCCAGCCGAATTGATGAAATTCGGAGGACAAATAGTAATAAATGTGCTCCTCCGAATTTCATAATTTCGGCTGGGATGTTGTCAATAGATCTGCAGCAAGATCCGGCAGACCGGTGAGTGGCCCTTCACGTGGACACAGTCACTAATCATCACTCTGCCAAAGAAAGGCAACCTGCAATTGTGTCAAAATTACTGGACCATAAGCTTAGTTAGCCATCCCAGCAAAGTGTTGTTGAAAGTCATATTGAACAGATTGAAGCCACAAGCGGAGAATATCATTGCTGAAGAACAGGCTGGCTTTTGTGCTGGAACAAGTACCACAGAACCGATTTTCAACCTTCATGTTCTATGTGAGAAGTACTTACAACACCAGCAGGACATCTACCATGTCTTTGTTGACTTCAAGAAGGCATTTGACAGAGTACGGCACGAAGCTCTCTGGGCAACTATGAAGAAGTACAATGTTGGTCGCAAGCTTATTCTTACCATTAAACAACTGTATGCCAAGGCCAGCCGTGCAGTTCTCGTCAATGGCACAATAGGAGAGTGGTTTCGCACCAAGGCTGCCTTCTTTCACCCACACTGTTCAACATCTACTTGGAGCTTATAATGACTGATACCCTAGAAGATCACATATGGACAGTCAGCATTGAGGGGCGAACAATCTCAAATCTTCGGTTCGCTGACGACATTGATGGCCTGGCAGGCAGTGAAGATGAACTTGCCAACCTTGTGAAACGATTGGATGAAACCTCTGCAAAATATGGCATGGAAATCAATGCAGAGAAAACCAAGGTGATGACTTAAAAACTGCTTGCTTACAAAATTAGACATAAAAATACAAAAGTGTCACAGCACACTGTTACTGAAAAATTGCTGACTTTCTCATTTCTACCATATAATTATAAAATTATCAATTGGAATATAAATATTGTACTTACATTTCAGTGTATAGAGCAGTATAAACAAGTCATTGTCTGTATGAAATTTCAGTTTGTACTGACTTTGCTAGTGCAAGCCTGTTGTAAAAGTTAAAAGTCCAGTCAGTGGCGCAAGCAGGGCCTGGGGCTAAGGCAGGCTCCCTGACTACCCTGGCTCAGTGTGGTCCCAGAAGTGGCCGCCAGCTCTCCCACCACCATAGCTTCTGCTGCTTGTTGTTGATGAGAGAGGTCTCTCCCATCGGCATAACGTGGCTACATGAGCGCTCTGACAGTGGCACAATGGTATTGGTGCAGCTGTGCCGCTGTACGCTTGTAAGTGTAGACTTGGCCTGACTCCTTTCAACAAACTTTTTCCTTTAGGAAGCTTTTCCTGTCATCTCACCTCACTGCTTATTGCTTTTTATTTCACCCATTATTCCTAGATATTCTCCTTTTTCTCCCCACAATGGATCCTGGCTGGTATCCCTACAACTCGTCCAGCAGCAATAGATGCTGGGACTATTTCCCCCCTCTCTTGAGTGAAAAAAAGCACAGTCTTGTTACACTCAAGGTGCCAGTTTCCACAGACTCAGATAGTTATTGTTGAGTCTGGAATGTGACTCCCGGTGAAAGAGATCCGAGAAATGGCTTGGTATTAAAGGTCGTTGAGGGTGGAATCTTGTACTCATGCTCCCAAAATTCCCTTGGAAGGCTGGGACCTTTGGGTGTGCAAGAAATGGAAGGATCAGAACCTAGGATAATACTAATCCTTTGACTGTATATATAATAATAATTCCTAACTTTTCTATCATGCAGTATATCTAGCCTTCGTCTATCTGGCAGCCGAGAAATCCCTGGGTTCTAAGAGGAAGGCTCTGGCTTTATATTTTTTTCCCTCCAGATTTATGTGGTGGGCCCATACTCCAGCTGTGGCATTTCTCCAAAAACAAGCTCTTGGCAAGTCTCAACCACTGTTTTCTAACACAGTGATGAACATAGATGAACAATGATGAACCTAGTTGTCCAGGTCTATGCTTACAGTCAGACCATGGGTGGGTGAGTCTGTTGCTGACACCAGTCATCAGAACTGAGTCATTTTTCTAGTATAGGCCTGGCCTTAGTTACTTCAGGAGGAGCTTAAATCATCTGGAGATATAATTTTTGTGCTCCTCTTGCTTTCCTGTGTCTGGCAGGTCCAGGCAGATGGGACAGATGGAAACTGTGTCACATTTGTGTTACATGATGAGGACCACACACTCGGCAACTCCCTCCGTTACATGATCATGAAAAAGTAAGTTGAGTCCCTGTGATAACTGGTACCACCTTAGGGCTATGTTTCTTATCCCTTGACTTCTGATCTAGCAGCTCTGGCACTCCTGAAGCTGGGTGAATATTACAAATCTCCCTACTTGGGTTCTTTAAACAAATGCACTTTGACTGCATATCTGCCCCTTTGGGAACAAGTTTACTGTCAGGCCTGGGAGTGGAAACAGTCAGTGTTCAAGTGAGAATTAGAGAATCTCATTTTGAACTTGCAAACACAAATATCCGCACTGGGAGCCTGATTCGTATGCTTATGCAGTCAAAAGAATAGTATCTCATGACCTACATGACCCTATCCAAACTATCCAGTAGTGAATATTTATGAGGAACTTCTTGTCATGAGTTCCAGCTCTAGAAGTATTCATGGAGGGGGGTTTTCATTTGATAATTTTAAAGGACAAATTGTGATAGTCTTGTAAGCTGCTCATGATAAATCACCATCAGCAAACCAGTGCTGTAACCTTTAGGCCGTGCTTCCTTTCAACTGCTAAAGCCAGGGCAACCACTCGACTGGTCCCAGGTTTGGGTCTGGGCAGCCGTGAAATCCATCCACAACATAGAAGAGGCAGGGGATGTTTATCTTGCTCCATACCCCATCCACTTCAGGATCCAGCCCACCCCGCAGAAGTACACCTTCCCCTCTGCATGTCTGTCTCAGGGAGCTGTGGGTGATGGGAAGTGATTGCTTTTGAAACATGTGGGACCATCACGCAGTGCAGGTCTGCTTGCTTCAGAGGTTCCCTACACATGAGAGTGTCTGCAGTTGGCTTGCTGCTGATTTTGAGAGCCCATTTGTGCTTCCTGCTTCTGTCTCTCCTTGTAGCTCTGAAGTGGAGTTTTGTGGTTACAGCATCACACACCCATCTGAAAGCAAAATCAACTTCCGGATCCAGACCAGAGGTAGGAATGCAGCTGGGCTTCCTTGGACAGCTGTCCCTTGCCATGTCAGGCCCTGAAACCATGGATCAGCCAGCCCCCTCCCTCCCTCTGCATGTCCTTCGTTCCACCATTCTACTGGGCAGTTGCTATCACCATCCATGATCAGTGCATCTTGAGTAGCAGTGATAGAGCTGGTCTCTGTCATCCCCCAGTGCAGATCCCAGACGTGGCCTCTGTAGTAAACAGCAAGCTTGGGGAGTTGTGGTCCCAAAGCCTCACTCAGCACTGGGCATCCCACCAGGCATCACCCCCTGGTTAGCTCCCGGATGCCCCCTTTGCGTTAGATCGTCACCCAAAGCTTGTTACATTATACACTAAACAACAGATCCAGTCTGTTATACAACTCGATGGCCAGATATTGCTAATTCCTGGGGTGAATAGCACCGGAAGTGCTCTATGCAGCAGGGTGCCCTCTGGATGCTGTACTCCGCATTCCCCCGATCCTATCCTGATGTCCACACCAAAGGGCAGCCTGCAGGACTTGCCTGGGACTGCATCTGCCGTTGCAAGAGCAAGGCCAAAGATCTGCTCCATTTCCATACCTATCTCACAATTGTCCCACAGCATCTGACGCTCTGAATAGTTTGAAAAACCCAGCCCGAGCCTCTAACTTGGTTCCCAGCTCACAGGTCCCCTCTCCAGTGGCCTTGAGTGTTGGTTGCATAGAAGAGCAGAGCCACTGGAAATGGCCAAGTTGTGCTAGATGGCTTTTTAATTTTTTGAAGAATTTAGCAGTGCTGCAAAGTGCTGGATTGCTGGCCCCAGAGAGTGGAGCCTTAAGTCTGTCCACAGCACAAACTGCAGGGCAACCTTCCCCTACGCTGTCCCCTGCCAAAGGGCTTCAGCCTGGACTTGGGTCTCTGAGACACCAGTTCAAGCCTCCATGGCCCTTGTATGCTCTTCTCAGACTGCTGATGAGAGTAGGAGGGAGCATGATGTGAACGCTGGCCTAAGATCCTCACCTTATCACAGGAGCCGCCAAAGAGGTGTATGATGGTTGGTCACTACTGAGCTGGGCTAGGAGGGGAAGGGCCCCGTATCCCATACTGGAGCCAGCCACACTTTATGCGAATGCTTCTCCTTTTCTGAAGGGGGGCTCCTGGCCATTGAGCCATTCCGGAGAGGACTGACAGAACTGGTGGATGTCTGCCAGCACGTGCTCAGCAAGTTTGAGGTGAGGTCACTGCTTCATGGTAGAATGACTCTGGGATCCTCTCTGTGGTCGGCAAATGAGAGAAATAGCTGGCTGCACTGATTGACTGACAGAGGTACTAACATGTCCATGGCTGCAGCCGTTATCTAACTGATCCCCTCCTCGCTCCTCTTGCAAGATCTGCACATATTTGGATGCAGCCAGTTGTAGTAGTTAGAGAAGTGGAACTGGGAGTCAGCAGACTTGGGCTCTCTGACCAGCTTTGACACTGAATCGCTGTGTGACCTTGGGGAAGTCACTTCTCCTCTGTGTGACTCGGTTTCCCCATCTCTAAAGTGACACTTCACCTGCCTCTGAAAGGGGGGTTCTGAGAAGCAAGCAGTGTTTGTAGAGTGCTTTGGGAGCCTCAGATGAAAGTTGCTATACAAGGTAAATGCAAAATACTGCTATTTCACCCTGTTTGTTACATTTTACTGCAGTGTAGAGTAAAGAGCAGAGAATGCACAAATCTGCATTCCATATCCAAGGGGTTTCACCGTCATCTTGGAAGAGATGTTTTTTCTACCATACCAGGGGGATAGGATTTGGAAAGCCACCTGAGGCTCAGTAATCCTGCTTGTGGTAGAGAGCAGCTAGTGCATCATAGAGACAATTTGGTGTGGCAGGGGCGTAAGAATGCCAGTGTGAAGGGTGGCTTGGGTGTGAGTGGTGCATATGGAATCTGGATGCTGCAGAATAAATTTGGGATCAGTAATCTGCTCCCCCCAACCCTAACGAATGTGGACCTGTGCTCTTTGAAGGAATGGCCTGATGCAGTGGCAGGGACCTCAATGGGGGCAAAAATGGGCTCTGAATTTGTTCTCTTTCAAACATGCTGCTGTAATCTGTAAAGCATCTGTGTCTCTAGGCAGGCTGATCTGGGGGCTACTCCTGGGGGCGCTGCCTCACCTCCCTTACAGTGATCCAAGGTTATGATCAGAAATAAAACGCAACCATTTCTCAGAGCACCTAAAGCCAGTGGTGAGCTGGAGCCGGTTCGCACGAACCAGTTGTTAAATTTTGAAGCTGGTTTAGAACCGGTTGTTAAAGGGGTGGGCAAACTCCGGCCTGCGGGCCACATCCAGCCTGCGGGACCGTCCTGTCCGGCCCACCTGAGCTCTCGGCTGGGGAGGCTCCCCTGAGAATCCCTTTTTAATTTTTACTCACCCGGATCTTCGGTGCCACTTCGGCGGCCTGTCCTTCAGTGCCGCCGAAGACCCGGAGTGACTGAAGGCCCTGCCACCGAAGTGCTGCCGAACACCCAGAGCGACTGAAGGAACTGGTTCTTCAGCTTTTGGCAGCTCATCACTGCCTAAAGCTCATCAGTTACCCTCCCCACCCTTCGGTCTTTTCAAGGAGGAGCCTCAGCCACATTAAAATGTTGCCCTTTTATGTTTTATTCTGCCCAGGACAGTAAGTTCAGAACCAGAGAGCCTCTCAAAGCTCCTCAGGCGTGGACAAGGGTGTGGCTGTGTTTTAATTGATCAAACATACAGCATTGACATTGGTCATTTGATCTCATTTGCAGGCAAGCATAAAGGAATACAGGGCCCAAAGAGAGGAGGAAATGGACTAGCCCCTGCAGCTGCTGGAGTACGGAATGGACATGTATATATTGTTCGTTTATGTTTAATGCCCCTGTTGAAAGCGGTTTTATTTTTTTTATGACGAATCTGAAGTAGACTGTGTAATTTCTCTAATAAACACTATAAGGTTCAGTCCAGCTTGCATTTCACTCCATTCAGACCTGCCACGGATCCAGAAAAAGAAAGGGGTTTCCCGAAATTTTCTCAGGTCGGCAGTCCCCACCACACTTTCATTCTCACCCTTAGAAATCTCCACAGCCTCAAATTCACTTCAAGATCTGAGTCTGCACAAATCCCCCAGATCAAAGCACCCCCAACCCCCTGCAGGGTTTGAAATCTGATGGGTTTCAGAGTAACAGCCATGTTAGTCTGTATTCGCAAAAAGAAAAGGAGTACTTGTGGCACCTTAGAGACTAACCAATTTATTTGAGCATAAGCTTTCGTGAGCTACAGCTCACTTCATCGGATGCATACTGCGGAAAGTATAGAAGATGATAATTTTTCAGCTTTCATCCCTTTTCTCTAAACTTCTTACATTTCCACACTTCTTCCATTTTTGGGGTGCCTTGATGACTTCCACCTAACCCTTTATCCACTCCTTGGGAGAAACTGAATATGATTTCGTGATGTTGGAAGGGTAGCTGCAAAGACCAGAGTAATAACAGCATTAAGATTTCATCTGTCCAGTGAAGGTGCAGTTCCCACGCTCTTTGTGTCTGTTTGTGCCATGCTTGTGAGCATGTGCGTGTTTTTTAAAAAGCAGCAGTTCAGAAAGCAAAGGGGGTTTTGTGTCCGATTCCCTGGATTGAGCTCTTGGTGCACAAGGAAAATCCACCACCAGTGGTTGTGGGTTTATCATGATCACATTTGTTTAATTATCAAACGGGCACTCTGCTCATTTGCTACAACAGCAGAGAACGTATCATTAGGCTTCACTTAGGGCATGGCTTATCCTGAGCAGCATAAATTACATATAATGTACAAGGAGAACAGATATGATTCCTTTACAATAAATCAATTCAGTTTGGATCCCAAATCAGTAACAGGATCCATATGGAGACTGAACCATTTACCAGTCTGTCTGCCTGACTCCAATCTCCTTTACACTGTTTGAAATCCTCATTTTCACCTATGGTAAAGGTGAGAAGAATCAAGCTCCATGTATTTTAAAACAGAAGAGTCTGATCCTTTTACCCTCCAAGAGCCTGCCTTCCAGTCTCTGTCTCATCCCCCATGAGAGTTAACATTCTTTGCCCCTAAAGGCAGTATGGCCTAGGGGAGAGCACACTGGAGTGTGACTCAGCAGACCTGGGTTTTATCCTGCCACTTGCCTGCTGGGTGACCTTGGCCAAGTTACTTCCCCGCTCTGTGCCTCAGTTTACCTAACTGTAAAATGGGGGTGATAATGCTGCCGTCCTTTGGAAAGTGCTTTGAGATCTACCAATGATAAGAGCTAGATAAGAACATAACGTGCATGGCTGTACTGGGTCAGACTAATGGTCCATCTAGCCCACTATCCTGTCTTCTGACAGAGGCCACTGCCAGGGAATGAAGGAGGGAATGAAGGAGGGAATGAAGAGAACAGGGCAATTATCAAGTGATCCCTCCCCTGTCATCTACTCCTAGCTTCTGGGAGGCAGAGGTTTAGGGACAACCAGAGCATGGGGTTGTCCCCCTGCCCGTCTGTCATGGATTTGCAGGCTCAGTATTCTGGGACAGCTCTGAACAAATTTTATACAGGACTCTCTTGTAGTGCAACAATGCCTCAGGCCACACACTCACTAGGGCAAGCCTCCTTCGGTCTGACCTTGGAGCATTCAGCAGCCCTGTTCACATTGTGAGTTCCCCACAGTGAGTCCACCTGAATAGGACACCTGGAGAAGCCTTACATGCCCCCCAAAAGGGGCCATGCACCCGAACCACACAGTCAGCAGTGACCCTCAGCCAACAAGGTAAAACAAGGTTTATTAGTTCTCTGGAATTCAGCATAGAACAGATCTTCTCAGGGTATGTCTACACTACGAAATTAGGTCGAATTTATACAAGTCGGTTTTGTAGAAAGTGGTTTTATACAGTTGATTGTGTGTGTCCCCACACAAATGCTCTAAGTGCATGTAGTCGGCGGAGTGTGTCCACAGTACCGAGGCAACCGTCGACTTCTAGAACGTTGCACTGTGGGTGGCTATCCCACAGTTCCTGCAGTCTCCGCCGCCCATTTGAATTCTGGGTAGAAATCGCAGTGCCCAATGGGGCTAAAACATTGTCGCGGGTGGTTCTGGGTACATATCGTCAGGCCCCCATTCCCTCCCTCCCTCCCTCTGTGAAAGCAAGGGCAGACAAACGTTTTGTGCCTTTTTTCTTGTGCAGACGCCATACCACGGCAAGCATGGAGCCCACTCAGCTAACCGTCACCGTATGTCTCCTGGGTGCTTGCAGATGTGGTACTGCATTGCTACACAGCAGCAGTTAATTGCCTTTTGGCAGCAGACAGTGCAGTATGACTGGTAGCCGTCATCGACGTCGTCCTGGGTGCTCTTTTAACCGGGCGCCTGGGAAAACAGGGGAGTGACTCAGCCAGGTCATTTCCCTTGTTTCGTCTCGTGGCGATTGAGTCCTACTGGCAGTACACTGTCTTTTAATCTGCAGCTAGCAGAAGACGATGGCTAGTCGTCATACTGCACCGTCCTCTGCCGAGCACCCAGGTGTTGACGATGGCTAGGTGTCGTACTGCACAATCTGCTGCCAGCAAGATGTATAAAGATAGATGAAGTGGCTCAAAACAAGAAATAGACCAGATTTGTTTTGTATTCATTTTCTCCTCCCTCCCTCCCTCTGTGAAATCAACGGCCTGCTAAACCCAATTCTGAGTTCTATCCTTGAGGGGGCCATTCAGTTTCTCGCGAAGCCACCCCCTTTGTTGATTTTAATTCCCCGAAAGCCAACCCTGTAAGCCATGTCGTCAGTTGCCCCTCCCTCCGTCAGGGCAACAGCAGACAATCGTTCTGCGCCTTTTTTCTATGCAGGCGCCATACCACGGCAAGCATGGAGCCCGCTCAGATCACTTTGGCAATTAGGAGCACATTAAACACCACACGCATTATTCAGCAGTATATGCAGCACCATAGAATATCAAAGTTGGAAGGGACCTCAGGAGGTCATCTAGTCCAACCCCCTGCTCAAAGCAGGACCAGTCCCCAATTTTTGCCCCAGATCCCTAAATGGCCCCCTCAAGGATTGAACTCAACCCTGGGTTTAGCAGGCCAATGCTCAAACCACTGAGTTATCCCTCCCCCCAAACCTGGCAAAGCGATACCGGGTGAGTAGGCGACGTCAGCGCGGTGACGTGAGTGATGAGGACATGGACACAGACTTCTCTCAAAGCACGGGCCCTGGCAATGTGGGCATCATGGTGCTAATGGGGCAGGTTCATGCAGTGGAACGCCGATTCTGGGCTCAGAAAACAAGCACAGAGTGGTGGGACCGCATAGTGTTGCAGGTCTGGGACGATTCCCAGTGTTTGCGAAACTTTCGCATGCGTAAGTGCACTTTCATGGAACTTTGTGACTTGCTTTCCCCTGCCCTGAGGCGCAAGAATACCAAGATGAGAGCAGCCCTCACAGTTCACAAGCGAGTGGCAATAGCCCTGTGGAAGCTTGCAACGCCAGACAGCTACCGGTCAGTCGGGAATCAATTTGGAGTGGGCAAATCTACTGTGGGGGCTGCTGTGATGCAAGTAGCCTGCGCAGTCATTGAGCTGCTGCTATCAAGGGTAGTGACTCTGGGAAATGTGCAGGTCATAGTGGATGGCTTTGCTGCAATGGGATTCCCTAACTGTGGTGGGGCCATAGACGGAACCCATATCCCTATCTTGGCACCGGAGCACCAAGCCGGCAAGTACCTAAACCGCAAGGGGTACTTTTCAATAGTGCTGCAAGCACTGGTGGATCACAAGGGACGCTTCACCAACATCAACGTGGGATGGCCAGGAAAGGTACATGACGCTGCATCTTCAGGAACTCTGGTCTGTTTCAAAAGCTGCAGGAAGGGACTTTCTTCCCAGACCAGAAAATAACCTTTGGGGATGTTGAAATGCCTATAGTTATCCTTGGGGACCCAGCCTACCCCTTAATGCCATGGATCATGAAGCCATACACAGGCACCCTGGACATTAGTCAGGAGCTGTTCAACTACAGGCTGAGCAAGTGCAGAATGGTGGTAGAATGTGCATTTGCACGTTTAAAAGTGCGCTGGCGCAGTTTACTGACTCGGTTAGAGCTCAGCAAAACCAATATTCCCACTGTTATTACTGCTTGCTGTGCACTCCACAATATCTGTGAGAGTAAGGGGGAGATATTTATGGTGGGGTGTGAGGTTGAGGCAAATCACCTGGCTGCTGGTTATGCACAGCCAGACACCAGGGCTGTTAGAAGAGCACAGGAGGGCGCGGTGCACATCAGAGAAGCTTTGAAAACCAGTTTCATGACTGGACAGGCTACGGTGTGAAAGTTCTGTTTGTTTCTCCTTGATGAACCCCCCACCCCTTGGTTCACTCTCTTTCCCTGTAAGCTAACCACCCTCCCCTCCTCCCTTCGATCACCACTTGCAGAGGCAATAAAGTCATTGTTGCTTCACATTCATGCATTCTTTATACAGGTTTCAGAGTAACAGCCGTGTTAGTCTGTATTCGCAAAAAGAAAAGGAGTACTTGTGGCACCTTAGAGACTAACCAATTTATTTGAGCATGAGCTTTCGTGAGCTACAGCTCACTTCATCGGATGCATACCGTGGAAACTGCAGCAGACTTTATATATACACAGAGAATATGAAACAATACCTCCTCCCACCCCACTGTCCTGCTGGTAATAGCTTATCTAAAGTGATCATCAGGTGGGCCATTTCCAGCACAAATCCAGGTTTTCTCACCCTCCACCCCCCCACACAAATTCACTCTCCTGCTGGTGCTAGCCCATCCAAAGTGACAACTCTTTACATAATCAAGTCGGGCTATTTCCTGCACAAATCCAGGTTTTCTCACATCCCCCCCACCCCCATACACACACAAACTCACTCTCCTGTTGGTAATAGCTCATCCAAACTGACCACTCTCCAAGTTTAAATCCAAGTTAAACCAG